ACACACACACACACACACACACACTGGGATGGAGGCTGTCTTTCCCCCCTCTTTCCTTCAAGACTGCAGCTCATTCCTCAGCGATCACGTGACCGCTCAGGTAAGAAAGGTGTGACTCATTTTACAGTCAAAACATGAGGGAAAATTTCTGCTTTTGCTGTTGTTTTTATTTCTGTGTCCTGGTATCGATATGGAGGGGGTGTCACATAAATAACAGATCATTTCTGTGCATATGCAAGTCATTTTTTATTATTAATAGATATTAAAAATAATTTCGAATCAATTTTAAATGCCTGTTCTCACTTTGGGTTGAGTGTAAGAAAACAACTGAATTAAATAATCTCAGTAAAATTAATGTAAATGTAAAATTAGGCAGTTTTGATCTAAATATAATTTCGCGAGTGTCATTTTGAATAGTGGTGCAGTATCGCCCTCTACTGGGCGAATGGCACAATAGTTGTCTCTAATTGGTCAGTTACAATGGGTCTAAATAATAATTATTTTGTTTGCAAATATTACTGTGTATTTTCCAAGTCAATCGCTATTAAAGTTTTTCGATGTCATTATTAAGGTATAAATTATTGTTTAGACCGCAGATGAAGCGTAACAGATTATCACGTGACGTCTGTTACTTTTCTCAACGCTGCTGAGGCTGAACCAATCAGATGCGATTACAGGATAACAATCGTTTTCATTTTTTTTTTTATATAGATTTATTTTCGGGATTTTTAGCTGTATGTGAGATACTAATCTTCGTAGTTAACAGATCTAAACGATTAAACATTTTCGTGTACAAATGTCTGCAAAACGTCTAATAAAACGACCCGAGATTCTGAATCACCGAAACCTTTATGATTTATTGTCTCATCTTGCCTTACCTAATCGGATATTTTTTAACTGAATTTTAGTCTTCACTGTCTCGTAGTGTTTAAAGTCTATATAAAAATCCAAAGAAACAATTATAAAACATTCAAAATTAGATGATTGTTTCAGTTCTCTCAAAGACATCTGAGGATTTTGGAGCATTAAACCAGGTGTTTATGATCACAATTGCTATAGTTTCAGCATATTAACGCATAAATACTGCACAATAATTGGGTAAAGTTTTTAGACTGTTCTATAATCGTCCTGGAGGGGGCAGGAGTCATTAAAAGATGATTAACATCCATTTTTTTGCTCGTCTCTAATGTGAACAGAATATATACATATAAATTTCATGACAACAAAGAATGAAATATATTTTCTTTTTTTAAAATCAATATGATACGCAATAATCCCACTCCAGACTATGTGATCAAAAGTAATCTAAAAGAAGTCAGACTACATTACCTAATGTTTAATATATATAAACTGAAATGAAAATCATTACATAATAAATAGGACGCATGGTTAATGCAGTTTTTTATTTTATTTTTGTGTTAATACAATAAATATACAAAACTCAAACTACTCAACATGCGACTAAGGGAGCGAGACAGGAGTGCATTTGTACAGTACAATGAAATTCAGGACGACAGGCCACCGTTCCTTTAGTTATACAAAATATACAAATATCCCTCACGTCTGTTTTAAATAGTATGTCAATGTAGTAGTAGCAGTAGAACCAGTGATGCTTTCTCTTCAATCCGTTCCTCACGTATCAGTGTTTCAACTAAGATGACTAACATCACTAATTAAAAAAAGACAAGCTTAAAGCCACGATCCATTGTACCAAACACAAGAGGTCACATCAGTTTATCTGTCGTCTCACGCTCCCAACAGATTCTTGTTTTTTTCCCCCTGTTTTAAATGAAAGCATTTCGAAACAAACAAGAATAGAGGAACATTCAGGTGCCATTTGTTGAAATTTATTTATAAAAGGAAGAACGGCTTGCAGTAACACACACACACACACAGAGTGTAAAGAGAACCGTACACGACTGGAAAAAGATTCAGAACACAAATATGACACAAAATAAGGAACGTATTGAAACAGTTCACCCCAAAAATGACTTTTTTTTTGGGTGAACTGTTTGTTTAAAATGTATAAATTATAAAGACTTCAAACTAACTCAATACTGAAAATAAATGAACACACAGTTTGTTCTCTCTCTCTCTCACACACACACACACACACACAAAGAGTGTTGCTGAAAGGTTAAGATCAAGATCAATTCGCATATTGATGCATATCCCATAATCGCAAAACTTGGCTGTCTCTTGGCGACAGTAACCAAGGCTACAAGGTTCTCTGCTCCAGTCATAAAAAGAGGAAAACAAACGTCACTTAAAAAGCTCTACACTTCAAACGACAAACGACAATGTGATTCAGGATCCAACATCAGGACGGCCCAGCACGGCACAGTCTTACACACATCTGCACGACAAATGCCACGTGTTGTTGGCGATGCACGGATTTTAATTGTGATTTTAAAAGTGTTTTCCATTTTACCCTAGAGAGCTCGGCAAGCTTCCCATGCATGTGCAGGAACGTATCCTGAGTGGTTCACGCTTTTAAGAATTAGTTTCCATTCCAAAACAACTCTATTCGAAATAAAAAAGAAACCAGAAAGCCTCAAAATCATTCATGTTTAAAATCAGTCAATACTTTATGTCATCATACAGGTTTAATATATATATTTATATATTTACAGGTAAAGAGTTGCGTGTGGAGCGTTTAGGGTCACATCTAATGGCTGTCTTCGTGTACTGATGGCTCATTTGCAGGAAAAAGCATTTACAATGATAGTTGGGTGAATCTCGCCAAGAAAAGGTCATATTATACCACAAAATCCAAAGAAAAGCCGATTGTTTTTATGCAAAAATGTCATGTTATACCCCAAAATCCAAAGAAAAGCAACACTTTTTAATGCAAAATGTCATGTTATACTTTGAAATCTAATGAAAAGGCCAATTTTGTTGTACAAAAGGTCATATTATACCCCAAAAACCAAAGATTTATGAAATTTTATGAATACAACCCAAAATAAAAAAGCGCATTTTTGTATGCAAAATGCCATGTTACACACCAAAATCTACAGAAAAGCAAAAAATAATTTTATGTAAAAAATTATTTTACGTACATGACATTTGCATTATGACATTTTTGTGACAATTAAGCATGGTTATTAATTATTAATGGTTAATAATAGGCATTTAAATGTGCTCGACTGTCACAAAAATGAGACAAAATATCATAAATGTTGATTTTCTGAGGATTTTGAGGTTAATTGTGACCTGGACATGTTTTCGGTGTGATTTTATGAGTGTTTAAGCAGAGATGATCGGTAAGACAGACCTGTGAGGGCATAACCATTCTTTTTTCCTTGGATCCCATAAAAAGACACTGGATGACATCACTTCCTGTTGTTTAACAGGGACAAACTGACGTGATGTGAACATATAAAGTGACTCTTTAGGCTGTTTACACGCAGACAGACGTTCCACCACACACACACACACTCCAACTAAAGAACAGGTGAGCACACCTGCTGATTGACAGGAGGGGCGGGGCTGTGGGCGGAGTCTCAGTCAGTCACAGGAGTGCATTAAGTCAATGAGAGTGGGTGTGGTCTTGAACAGCCAGTCCGAGATGACGAATGGCTGTAAAGACAGTTTGGAGGAATGCGGAGGGCGGGGTCAGAGTAGCATGGGCGGAGTCGGAGTTCTCTGGACCAATCAGATCTGCTCTTTGAAGGCTCCCCGGGCAGCAGAGGAGGCGGCGTTAGCGGTGGCGGTTTGCACCGTTTTGTTGGCCATGACGCCGGTGGCGAACTCCTGCTGCGCCTTCTCGAAACTGGCGCCGGTGGTTCGGTACAGCGCATGAACCTGCAAATAAACACATGTAAGTTTGATTACTAACTACCAACCTGATTAGACCTGAGTTTGACAGATTTTCATTGGGTTTATGGTTCAGTGTTGTTTTAGTATTATTATTGTACTATTATAGTATTTATTAACATTTTTAATAAAAATTAGCTTTTATTTTGACATTTTCAGTTTATTTAGCTTTATTTTTATTTCACTTATAATTTTGATCTTCAACTTATTACATGCAGGCACAAAACTTGTAACCTAGTTATAATGAAATAACAGGAGACTAAACTGAAAAAGCAATTTTCACTGTGTTTATGGCTTAGTGTTATCTCAGTATCATTTATGTACTATTACAGTATTTATTAACATTTTGAATTAGGTTTTATATTTATATTTTTTATTTTAGTTTGTTTTAGTGTATTTGTTATGTGCTTGTCATTTTTTAGCGTTTGTCATTTTTTATTTTAAGTTTATTTCATTTTTTACATTATTTAGTTTAAGTCATTTTAGTACTTCAACTTAAATTTATTTTATTTCAGTTCATTGAATAATTTTTTTCATTTAAATTTTAGTCTAAGTTTTAGTAATTTTGTTATCTGCTTTGGTCAGTTTGATTAGTTTTGGGGCTACATTTAATATTTCTATGTAACTTTATTTTATTCATTTTTTTCAGTTTTAGTCATTTTAGTACTTAAACTTATTTAATTTCAGTCTGTTGCCAAGGCAACATTTCTAATTCTTGTTTATTTGTTTGTTTTTTCAGTTTAAAGATGTTCATGTAATTTTTATATTTTATTTCAGCTTAATTTCAATTAACAAAAACAACTTTTACCAGTATTAGCTTTGAATAAGAAGAACCACACTGTTTTGGTTCAGCTCTGAAGTCTATGCAAGTGCATTTGAGGTGAAGCAATATTATATTTATATGATATGAATTGTTTAAGGTGAAGCACCTTTTTAAACATGATGAGAGAGATGACAGCCGATGCGGTGAAGAGGGCAGCAATCAGGATCATGATGATGCCGACGGGAATACTTGTGTTCAGCCCAGTCAGCGCTGAGATCCAGCCGCTACAAACACAAACAGCGGATCACTCTTCATAACACACAGCTTCACAACATTACAATGTAAAGTCATGTGAAATGGAAGGTAAGTGAAAGGGTAAGTGTCATTATTTGCCACCTAGATTTGATTTTCAAGGGCATTTTTTCCCATTTTTGGGAACGTTTTTGTTTATTACCCTTATAAAAACCAGCACGTCATCCATCCGAGCAAATTAAATGACATCAATCATCAATGTGAAGAATTATAACTGTGACCTAAAAAATTAATTCAAATGTAGCTGTAAATAAGCCATAAAATACATTAATACAATAAACATAAACAAGCCATTTTTAATAGTTATCCGGTCACTATGTTTGATTAAACAGCTTTATACTGTAAATTGTTATGTTTTCATTTTTCACGTTTTGAAACTGTTGGGAACGTTTCTCCCCCACATTTAGTGATTTTACTTTTTTCTTTCAATAAAATTTGCATTTCATTTTAGTTACATATTCAACAATCTACAAATCTAGTGTTAGAAGCACTAAATGCATCATTACACAGATCCAGAACAGAATATATATTTGCTTACATTTTATCAAAATGTCAGCTATCACAACTAATATATTCATGGTGAGAAACAAGTGAAAAACAGAAAAAGTAAATAAATAAATATCTATATATAAACAACAAAATTTATAAAAACGTTTTTAAAGTTTATCTTTGATAAAAACAAATTTTATCACAAATTTTAAGCTATTACAAAAAATTGACATTTAAAATATATAAAATGTTAGAAAGTATAAAAAAAAAATAGACTGAAATGCTTAATGAGTCCAACAATTTAAATATCTGGGGCATTTGCATCACTTTCAGCAGTGTTTTGAAACCATTACGCCTATGGAGAGTCCCCACAAGGATAGCTGACCAGACGTGTGTGTGTGTGTGTGTTTTCTCACCTAGCACCCCAACCTGCAATGCCGATGGCTTGCAGCACATGGACACCAAACTGGCAGATATAGATGAAGAAGAAGACAAAGAACCTAAAAGAGCTGTCACTCCTTCAGAAAGAGAGAGAAAACGGTCAGATTCTGTATTCTCCATGAATGCGGTGTGTTTGCATATGTGCGTGTATGTGTGTAAATGTATGTATATGTGAGTGTACCTGAACGCTCCATACAGAGGTCTGTACCAGCAGACAAATGAACAGGGTGTGAAGAGCATGAACCAAAGCATGGCCAGACCAAAATCCACTCCCCTCGACGCATCTACACAGAACCACGACAAACAGCCGAATATATTGGCAAACAGCGTCCCCGTGTGGACTGCAAGAGAGGAACAGGAGAAAAGAGACACTGAGACATCACACATGTGTATGATACAAAACATGATATGAGGAAAGAAAATTCACTGTAAAGCTTGTTTCATTTCGGGAATCTCTAATCAATTTTTGCCACAAACCTGTTGGAACTCTGAGATTATGTATGAAAGCTATGACTAAAACTGATTAAAATGTTAAAAGATTAACATAAAAGATTTTTAAAAATCTAAATACAAAGTGTGCTAACTGTATAGCAACCTTAAACAATTTCTAAAATAAAAACTAAACTGAAACTTGAACAAAATTCAAAGTGAAAATGAATGACAATTGAAAATAAAAAACTTTCCCAAGTAGTTTACAATTTGTATGAATGTATCTTCCAAGAACCTGTTAATACTTAAAGCAGTTTAAACATCCACCGTCTGTTATATTAACTGTATCACTGCAAAACCTCTCCACAGTCATTCAGAAGTGACTCAGAAGCCATTAATAGTGGAGCTCAAAGCCAGACTGTTCAATCATTCATATGAGCTAAAGCAGAGCCAGAGCGTGCTCACATACACATTACCCATCATTCACTGGGAATCCTCGGTTTATAATGTTACCAAAGATTTATATTTCAAATAAACGCTGTTCTTTAGAACTTTCTATTCATTAAAGAATCCTGAAAAATAAAATGTATCACAGTTTCCACAAAAATATAAAGCAGCACAACTGTTTTCAACATTGATAATAATCAGAAATGTTTCTTGAGCAGCAAATCAGCATATTAGAATGATTTCTGAAAGATCATGTGACACTGAAGACTGGAGTAAAGATGCTGAAAATTCAGCTTTGATCACAGCAATAAATTACATTTTAAAACATATTCAAATAGAAAACAGTTCTTTTCAAATGTAATATTATTACACATTTTTACTGTATTTTTGATCAAATAAATGCAGCATTGGTGAGCAGAACAGAAGTGTATTGCTTATTGTTAGTTCATGATAGTTAATGTCAACAAATGAGAGCTTATTTTTAAAGTTTCCGTTTATATGATCAATTTAAAAGAGTGTTAATTTATGACAGTTGTTTTTAAGTGTGGTATACAGTCAATATTTCTCAGGTTAGACAGTATTATAGTTTACCATGCATAACATATCTCGCGAATATGGGATTGCATTTACTGTTGCTGCAAAAAAGTAATGGAAAGTTCTTTCTTCTTCCGCTTCTTTCACCACATTTACTGCACAAATGCCAAGAAAGTCTCGGGTCTCTCTCGCTCGCTGCTCAATTCCCTCCCAAATTCCTACAAAACAAGATCAGGCGAAACTTAAACACTACTCTGATGCTAATCACATGACGCGTGGTGGCTCCGCACTTCTAATATCATGTGACTGATCTCATCCAGTATGAAACGCATCAAACAGACCGACAGTTTCTCTGGGAAAAGAATTTCTCAATTTTTTTAATTAATAAAAAAGGGCTAAATGCAACAATAATATGGTAATGATATGGTAACATTAAAAACTTAAACTTATATGGCCTTAGTTTAAAAGTATTAAGACGGGGTTTTTTTTATTTTATTTTTTATAATTTTTCGGGTTCAAACTAACCTGGAAGATGAAAATATATCTTACTCAACAGTTTTATAGCATTTCTTCCCAAAAAAGACCATTTACAATGTTAGTCAAGGTTTCTAATTTATTATTTCAAGGTTTCTAATTTAGCATTTAGTATGAACATTTTCCACCTTTTGTCTGACCTACAGTATAGCTGTTTTAGAATTAAAATTAGGCTGTTTTTTGTTACTGTATCTTTAAGACTCCTACTGCATATGTAAATGACCTCTGGTGTGATTGGCTGGCCTTCACGGGCAGTATGTTTGGTTACTGTTTTTTTGGACTGTCGGCATTATGGGATTTCTCAAGAGTCACTCACACATCCAGAGATAGTACATGATCTTGATGGTTTTCTGGTACTCCACAGGGATGTCCACTGATATGTCATGATAGAAACACGGACCCACCGGAAACTTCTCTGGAAGGGGCGGCCAGTTGTTTTTCCTCCCTTAGAAACAAGAAGCAAACAGGAAAATCAATTAAAAAAGGAAATAAAGAGGTGGATGACGCAACAGGAGCATGATGATAAAAAGTGGTAAACTGGGGTACAGAAGTGGGAAACAGCACAGAGACAGTAAATCTCACTAAATCTAAAGTTTATTGTGAGATGACAAGCATGATACTGTCTCAACCATAGAACAAATTACTCCAGATCATCTGATGCATACTGCACACAAAAACGCCAAGAACTGCCTGAAATTTCAATTCTTCATCGTCATCAAGAATGTATTTCAGTCCTCATACACAATTTCATAATAACTGTATATAATTTTACATATTAATCAAAAAAAGGTCTGGGCTGAAGCCTTATCCTTTTTTTTTTTACCTACTCTTTTATTTATTTATATATATATATACACACACACACACATACAGTATATATATATATATATATATAAAGCATCACTTCCACTGCTACATTTAATCTATACAAAATAATTTTAAGATCTTTATACATAACTGAAAATACCACCTTTTGAGCAATCATGAGCTATAAATTCAAAGGAATTTAATAAAATTCCATTCAGTTAGTGGAAGTTAATACTGGAGTTAATACTGGTAATTCTCACATTATACAGTCTTATTAATTTCATACAAGAATAAACTCAAATAACATTTCTCATCTATATATAGCATCCTTTTTTTTTTTGGTGTGGTTCATGTGTAATTTCAATTGTGTTTAAATTAATTAAAAGGGGTAACTGCAGTAATAACATGGTAATAATATGGTAACATTCAAAACTTTTTAGAATTTGTGAATTTTGCCTACCATTTTTTTTCATAATAAGCATCACTTCCACTACTAAATTTAATCTATACAAAATAATTGAAAGCCCTTTATACATAACTGAAAATCGCACCTTGTATTAATTAATACATTATTTAACAAATAAATGATTAATTTTGAGTTATATATTTGCTTATCACCTTGTTTTTTTAACTCCTTTTTAATTTGCAAAGAGAAGTACCTATTTCTTATTCAATGTCACAGTTTCAGTTTTTCCACTATTCATGAGTTCAAAAATATCAATAAAACCTTTCCATCACATCACTTTATTTCCCAAAAAATAAGAATGAAGATTTTATCAAATTTATATATATGCGTGCGTGTGTGTGTGTGTGTGTGTGTGTGAGCTTTAATGCACTTATCAAACTAACAAAAGCAGTCAAATGTTAAAAGTTTCAACTTTTCACTTACAATCTGCAAAGCAGGGGCAAAAGTGGAAATCAGGATTAGGCATAAAATAATATCATACATGTGAAAATGGGCTAAGAATTGAACCGTTGTAATCTGCTCAGATTCAGACAGGAATCATGTGTTTGGGTCAGTTTTTCTGCCGATTAAGGGAGAATACAAGATATTTCTCACCTTACAAATGGTCATCAAAATCAAAAATGCTATGAAATATTTTGTGGGAAAGTGAGACGTGTTCGAGCAAAAACAGACAATTTTTGGAATCAGCACCTCAAAATTTGTACGAATGTACTAATTAGTAAGAACACATTGGATTTCATTCAAGAAAATATGATCCATGGCTGTGTAATCTGTGCACTTTTGAAATTTTTAGTCAGAATAGGCTGCAATCCAGATGGGATTTAATGCTGATGTCTGGCTATATGAGGCTACCTGTTCCATTTGTTGTGTAAAAAGACCCAACTGTGGTAGGTGACTTTACATGTCAGTACCTTCCTGTCTGAGAGGGCGGTTTCAGACCAGAATAAGCGATGCAGCATAGAGGCTAATAACTCACCTCCTGATGCGCTGAGAGACTGCATCTCCCTCTCCCTGCGGTCCAGCTCAGCGGCTTTTCTCTCCAGCTCCTCCTGTCTCTGCAATAACTCTGCTTGGGCTCGCGCCTGATCCTACAGACACACAGACACAAGGTGGTTATGAACACAAAGTAATTCTGCTTACAGGCAGAGCAGAGCATGACTTCAGGAGAGTCAACATCAAAACACACCAAAGGCATTTTCTCAGACGCAGCTGTCAGAACCAATCACAAACACGTCTGAAACTCAGACCCGTGAGGGCCGATCTCCGTCTGACTGACAATGCAAGTCTTGTCTTGTTTATTCACGGCATATCTTATCTGGCGAGTCGTTATACACTGTAAATTTGAATAAGCCTCTACCTATATCATAACTGATTATGGCAGGACATCTGACCTCAAACGAAGCATGTTAGAGCTACACTACTATTCACAAGAATTCTCTTCTGCTCTCCAAGGCTGCATTTATTTGATCAAAAATACAGTAAAATATGAAAAATTAATGTGAAATGTGAATAATATACGATTTAAAATGTCTATTTTCTGTGAAAATATTTTCAAATATTATTGATTGCTGTGATCAAAGCTGAATTTTCAGCATCATTACTCCAGTCTTCAGTGTCACATGATCTTCAGAAATCATTATAATATGCTGACATGCTGTTCAAGAAACATTTCTGATTATTATCAATGTTGAAAACAGTTGTGCTGCCCAATATTTTTGTGAAACCCGTGATACATTTTTATTTTTCAGGATTCTTTGATGAATAGAAAGTTCAAAAGAATAGCATTTATTTGAAAGATAAATCTTTTGTAACGTAAATAAATAAAAAGTATTAAGTTCTTTAAAAAACAAAACCTCCTCAAACTTTTTAACAGTTGTGTACTTATGTGTACATTCACACATGTACATACTAGATGATTTTAGTACAAAGTCAATACTAAATTAAAAACTTTTTTTAAATGACACTATATATATATAGTTTATGTAATATTAATTAATATATAATATAATATAATCTATTGATAGATCAAACAAGTGAAAATCAGTTTTTTTTACACTAGTTTTGTTTGGTTAATAAATAAAGTATATATTATTTACTATATTGAATATAATTTAATATGATATAATAAAATAGAATAGAATTTATTGACTGATTAAATAAGAGAAAATGCAATTATTACTTGAAAATGCAAAATGTTTACTTAGTTGTGCAATACTTAAAAGCTTCATGACATTGTTTTAATATATATTTTTTAAATGAATATTTAATAAAATATTAAATATTGATACAAAATAAATTAATTCAATATGAATATGCAGGTATTCAGCGCATATCTGGTCGGTACAATAACACACAACAACATCACAGTCTCTATTATCATCAAAAAACAGTAAATCATATTATCAAATATAATAAATAGTCGCGACATAAAAACTGAACTGGCTGTAAGTGTAAATCTAGCGTGGGATGTGAGAGTTCATTGTTTGTACTCCATACTCTTTAGCAAGAGTTTGAGTTTGAAAATGAGTTTTTAAGCACTTTTGTATTAGAAGACGACTTTCAAAGTCCCGAAACTTTCAGCATGTAATGTTTGCTTCATAATTTTGTGGAAACCATGATAAATTTTTTAATGATTCTTTGACGAATATAAAGTTCAAAAGAACAGCATTTATTTTAAATAGAAATCTTTGTCGTTGATGTCTTTACGGTCACTTTTGATCAATTTCATGCAATTTTAAAGATTATTTGCACTAGCAAAAGCACTTAGTGGAGTTAAAAATTTTTATTTTTATTTTTTATTAGTAAACAATTTTCAAAGTCCCTAAACTTTCAGCATGAATGATACGAATGAATACTGCTGTAAAGATGTTGCAACCAAAAATAAAGTCCCAGCCGCACTGGACCTCATAGCGGCGACTCATCCTGCACTTGTTACAGCAGCGTCCCAGTTATGACAGATTATAATTTTAAGAATCACTCTTATCTAAGTCAATATGTTGACGCATACTGCCCTTGTTTCTGGGTCATTTTAAGGGCTCAGAAATCCCAGCTTTCCCTGAAGGCAGCATCATGTGACACACTCGGCTTAATAAAGCCAGTGGGCAACAAGTCCTTTAACAAGCCTTCTGTTGTCACCCTGAGGCTCAACTCCTCTCCGCTGCTACAACAAACTAAAGACTACAGCGACAGACCCTGAGCTTCTGATTCGGCCTCCTCCTGAAGATCTGGATCACCTTGTTGTGTCCTAACTCAAAGCATCTGATGTCACACATGGAGCCCGAGTGCGTGAGTCATCTGACGCACACCCAAAGCGTGCCTGTGTGTCCATATGTCTGGAGCGAGGCAGCCCTGTCCCGCAGGCGTGCTGAATTATACAGTATAAGCTCACTCGTGAGCAGACCGGCTCACAGCTCTTGCCTGCTGGAAGCTTCTGTTGTCCTACTGAGGATATTTCTGTGAAATCAAGGAGGATTTTCAACGCCGAATACCCTCTGACAGAATCATCTGTATCAGGGATTGTGCTTCACACAGACCCAACTGGGGGTTTAAGGTTTCAGAAGGAAACTTCATGCAGTCAATTAACACAAAATTATTTAGACTCATCCCTCAGTGTTTATAAATGAACAGGAAACAGATTTAAAGGACTAGACTTACAACGGAAGCCTTCTTTAATATAACCACCACAACTAGGGCTGCATGATTAATTGGAATAAATCAGAAATTGTGATATGGCTTAGTGCGGTTATCAAATTGCAAAGGCTGTGACTTAATTAAATAAATATGTGCTGCGTGTTACAGAGTGAAACGTGGCACTGTGTTCATTTACATGTGAGCAGCTCATCAACTTGTAATGAAAACTGGCTGTTGTCAACAAAAGAGAAGCTTTAAGGGCTCACTGCTGATTTTGATGTTTGATGTTTAAAAATAGACATAAATTATTAGTATTGTAATTTTACAGATGTACTATGAAATAAATTATTATATTATTATTTTTCTTGAATAATTTATTTGATTTATTTTTATTCAGTAATAATTATATATATATATATATATA